TACAGGCGCGCGCTACCACACCCGGCTAATTTTTTTGATTTATTGTAGAGATGAGGTCTCGCCCGCCCAGGCGGGTCTCGAACCTGCAGCGGGCTCAGGCAATCCACTCACCTCAGCCTCCCAAAGGTGCGGGATTTCAGGCTGAGCCACCGAGCCCGGCTTGGTTTTTCTTTTTTGAACTTTACTTTGTGACTTGGCTGGGTCTACCTGGCTCCCAGGACAGGCACCCCTCAGGTCAGGCCTCTGTGTGTGCAACCCCCACCCCCACCTGGCTCTTCTTGGTGAGCCCTGGTGGCCCAGTCCACAGGGCCGGTGCACCTGGAGTGGGTCCTCTCCTTGGTCAGACCCCAGGGTTCCCAGCCGGACACCCCCCTCCACCGCCTGATGGTGTCCACAGGGGCAGAGAGCCACCTACTCACTCGCTGCTTTAGGAGGGAGGCTGGGTCCGACTCCTGGGTCCCTGGGAACCCAGTGGCCGGGAGGCCTGCAGAGCTCCCAGGTGGGCCCGTGAGGGTCAATTGATCCTTTTTTTAAAAAAAGCTTTTACTGACTTGCCACGGGAGCCGGTTCACTGTTAATGGTTTGGATTTTGGTGATAGATACGTGACATATTATGTGCATTTATAGAAAATGTTAGCATTTCTTGCAAATCAAAACCATGGTGATATATCTCATATCACTCAGAATGGCTATACTAATAAGTCAAAAAGCAACGATTGTTGGCAAGGTTGCAGAGGAAAGAGAATGCTCATAAAATAGGTGGGATTGTAAGTTAGTCCAGCCCCTATGGCAAGCAGTTTGGAGATTTCTCAAAGAACTAAATATAGATTTATCATTTGACCAAGCAATCCCACTTCTGGCTATATACCCAAAGGAGCAAAAATCGTTCTACCAAAAAGACACCTGCATGTGTATGTTTAGTGCAGCACTCTTTACAATAGCAAAAACAAGAACCCCACTAGGTGCTCCCCTAGGGGGACCGGATAAAGAAAATGTAATACATACACACCATGGAATACTACACAGCCATCACAAAGGACAAAATCATGCCCTTTGCAGCAAGGTGGATGCAGCTAGAGGCCATTATTTGAAGTGAATTAATACACAAACAGAAAACTGAATACCACATATTCCCATTTCTAAGTGGGAACTAGACACTAGGTACACACACAGACATTAAGTTGGGAACAATAGACACAGGACTCCTAAAGTGGAGATGTGGGAGGCGTGGAAGGGTTGAAAATCTACCTACTGGGTACCATGCTTTCTATTTGGGTAACAGGTTCCATAGAAGCCTAGCCCCCAAATATATCCATGTAACAGACCTGTGCATGCACTCCTTGAATCTAAAATAAAAAATAAATACCAGGTGGGAGAAAAAAAAAGAGACGATTTTAGCATTTCTGAACTGGAGTCCCATTTTGGACACATTGGTTTACCAATAACCCCAATTTGAAGAAAGCGATACCATGGAACAGGTAGGGTAAGCACCCACTAGCAGGTACGGAAAGCAAATCATATAACCATATAAAGGGATAAAGTTAGTTACTAAGTACCGAGACAACAACAGGTGTTAGACTTCTAGCTCTGCTACTCGTCTTAGAAAGAGCACTGGAAGGTAAGGGTGCTTTTAGTGACTTTATTTTCCAAAAACCCACCCTAGAAACATGTTTTCTTCCGCATTTCCACCTCGATAAAAACACAGACAGCAACACAGAACCCAGCTTAGCTCCGGGCGGTCTCGCCGTCAGCCGAGTTCGTCTCTGAAAGCGTTCAGGCGCACCCACAGAAGTCCTGCGCTGGGTCTCTGCGAGGCGCTGGGCTCCCAGCAGCATCGAACGAGGTCCTCCAGGCGTGGCCCGGGGCCAGGGTCGGCGAAGACGGCCGCCGACAGGGCCGGGCGGAGGTGGTAGGCCACCACGGCATAGAGCACGTGCTGGCGCTCCCCGGAGTAAGGCACCTCCCCGGTCGCCATTTGCCAGAGGGTGATGGCGAAAGAATAGATGTCCGCTTTGGGCGTTATGGCCTCTCCTTTCAGGAGCTCGGGGGCTTGGTGGGTGTAGGTGCCTCCCAGCGGGTAGGGGAACGCCTGGAAGCACAGCAGGTCTTCCAGCTTCCTGGAGCAACCGAAGTCGCTGATTTTGCAGACGTCGCGCTCGCTGATCAGGATGTTCGCCGGCTTCAGGTCCAAGTGCACCACGCGTCGCGAGTGGAGGAAGCGCAGGCCGTTCGCCACGTCCAGGGAATACTGCAGACACTTGCCCAGGCTTAGCGGTTCTCCAGGGCGGCCGTGGGGCTCCCCCACCCGCGCCGTCTCGGGCTGGCCCGCAGCGCCGTAGATGACTTGGTGCAGCGTGACGTTGCCCCCAAACTCCATGATGATGGTGCCCAGGCTGTCGGAGCCCTCGGGCGTGCGCGCGCTGGCAGCCACGACCCTCACGATGTTGTCATGGCGCAGCCTGGCGACGTTGAGCTCGGCCCAGAAGCTCCGCCGCGAGGCCAGTCGGTTCTTGGTGCGCTGGTTCACCTGCTTGACGGCCACGGGGACGCCGTGGTAAGTGGCCCGGTACACCGAGCCGAACCCCCCGGCTCCCAGCCTCTGCAGCAAGCGCACCTGCTCCCAGTCGATGGCGCACCAGGCCAGCCGGCGCGGCAGCCGCGGGGCCCGGGGGGGAGTGGCCCCCGGGCAGAGCTTGCCCGGCCTCCCCGGGAGCTCGGAGGGGCTGCTGCAGGGTCGCGCGTCCCCCGACGGGGACAGCTCGCCCGGGAGGCAGCGGTGCGGCGCCAGGGGCGAGGGCATGGCTCTTTCCACGCCGACGCCAGGGCCGCGGCGGCGAGGGGAAGGAGCGGGGGAGACCGCGGGAGACGCGAAGCATGGCTGACTTCACCACCCCACTCCAGCCCTTTTGCCTCTTCCTTCGGTTGCTGCAAATGAGCTACATCTGTGCTGTCACCCGGCGCGGGGCTTTTGTTGTGGCCGTTGTTTTAATCGGATGGGGTGAAGCACAACCGCCCCTTGCAGATGAAAGCATTTCCCTTCCACACTTCAAGTGGATTCTTACAAAAACAAGCCCTCGCCTGACGGACCCCACTGAGCTGCCCCAGAACTCACCCCTCTTTTACATCATTTCCTTAATTATAATAAAATGGGCTTCCCCCCCCCCCCAGTCTTATCCGCTGAACACGACCGGTCCTTACACTACAGGGGCCACAAAGTACAATGAAATTGTTTTGCACTTTGCAGGCAATCATGATTGTGCGTGCGTGTTATTCCGCAGCTGCATTAAATCACTTCCAGCAGTGACTGGCTGAGGGAGTTGAAATACAGACAGCAGACGTTTGTTTAACCAATCACAGAGGAAAAATGAGGTGCGGCATTCATGTGGCTGAAATACTGCAACCTTAAATTAATCTGTCCAAACAGAATCACTGATACAGGTCAAAATACACACCTTCTAAGTTCATCGGGGGAAAGGAGAATCTTCCGACACTCTATGCACCTTATACGGCAAATTAGCAAGACTTCTTAGCATCATCTTGACTTCCTGGTAATCCTTCCCTTCCAAGGCAATTCGGCCCACCGGTCAGCTCACTTCCAAGAGAGATTCCAGGCTTCTGCAGCAAATGAATTACAAAAGTTTTGAAGCAGAGTTAGAAGAGGAAGAACAAAACAAAACAAAAATGATTCAGAGCCATGATCAGAGCTTCAAATGATAACACATACAGGAGAATTGCAAAAGAGGAAAAATCTGAAGAAATAAAACGACACAGACATTGGTACCCATATATGATGTAGAAAGTCAGATGTCAAAATTAAATTCAGGATATTGCCAGCAACCAATAAATTCTTCGTTTTTGATTTCTAACTATATTAATATAATATAAATATATGTCATAGAATGCAATATTTATAATAATATATATTATATTTTTATATATTATTTAAAAATTAATGTTCATACCATATCTTTAGGAAAAACAGTAATATTATCCTTCTCATTAAAAATGCACAATAGTATTAGGGTCTACATTTTTTAGCCAAGTGGTAAAGTTCCCATCTTCTAAAGCATCTGCGTGCTTTAGAGCAGCAGTCCCCAACCTTTGTGGCATCAGGGACAATTTTTTGTGGAAGGCAATTTTTCCACGGAAGGTGGGGGAGGGAATGATTTTGGGATGATTCAAGCGCATTACATTTATTGTGCATTTTATTTCTATGATTATTACATTGTAATATATAATAACATGATTATACAACTCAGCATAATGCAGAATCAGAGGAAGCCCTGAACTTGTTTTCCTGCAGCCAGACAGTCCCATCTGGGGATGATGGGAGACTGTGACACCCAAAGTTCATCGGGTGTTGCTTATGTCCAGCCTACTCCAGCATCTCGTTTGGGTTGCTGTCACTGCAGGAAATCCTGCTTCATGAAGATGGGATGTTGGAAATGGAAGCAGGCTTTTCAGTGCTGATTTGACAGAAGGTGGAGCTCAGGCAGCAATGCAAGCGACGGGGAGTGACTGTATACACAGACGAAGATTTGCTTGCTTGCTGCTGCTCACTTCCTGCTGTGCAGCCAGTTCCTAACAGGCCACAAACTGATACCACGGGGTTGGGGACCCCTACTTTAGAGCACACAGGTGATGGATAACCACATGATGATGACAGTTGTGTGCTTCTGAAGTGTATTGGCTCTGGGAAGGTAAATTAATAAACATAAGCCATTTCCATAAACGATTTGAGGTTCATGAGGCCCTAGAATAGAATTTCTATTCTTTGCTACTTGCGTGGCATAGTATGTGATCTTGAGAGCATACAACATTTAACCTGTTTGGGCCTCAATCTTTGCATGTAAGAAATTAGGATAATAATAATCAACACATCGCTATTATTTTGGAATAAAAGTTGGAGCGTCCTGTCCAGATTAACAATAAGAATCTTAAAAAATGTTAACTATGTAATACTTTAGTAGAAATGCAATTGTTTGCAATTGCACTAAGTCCCAAATATAAAAGAATGACAATGACTAGAGAAAAGTAAAAACGAACACAATTATACTCTATAATAAATCTATATTGCAGAATTTATTCACTAGGTATTACATAGTTGGAATTATAACTCAGGGCCTGAAACAATTATGTATAACAGTACTGTGAATATTTGCTAAATAATAGCAATAGAGGACCTTAACCACCTAGGTATTACACATAATGCAAGATGATATGACATTATTATATAATCTTTATTTTTAAGATAATCACAAAAGCAATTCATTTTCACAGTTGATTTTATTCTTTACATAAAACATAAGGTATTAATGAAAATATGGTACTGTGTATTCACAAACTGCAAGTTCATTAGCTCTGTCATCTGCCAATCTGCTCAAGAATATTTCATTGAATATCCATTTTACCGCAGCCTTTATTTTGTTTAGACATCTCAAAATATTTCTCTTACTCAACAAACTGCAGTTACCCTAAAAAAAAGCAGAATCTGTCTCCCTATTTATTGTTTCTCCTGCAAGTAACACAGTGTTTAGCACATAATTTCTTGTGTTATTTAAATTTAATTTTTAATCCTGATTTCATTACCATATAAATACGCACTATATAATATTTCAAATCTCAGCGCCTCTAAGCATGGTGGTAAACAGTGACAGCACTGGGGGTCAGATGGCCTGGGTTTTTTACCATTCCAGTGCCACAGTCTCATCTGCAAAACGATGAAAATATGCCCACGTCCGTGGCATATTTAAGAGAGTGTCACATAGGTCAGGGTCTGATTTATAGTGGGTAACATCTAGATGTTAACCATTATTTATAAAATTCATTAAAAAATTTGTATGTGCTTATACGAATAAGAAACAGATATGTTAGATAAAATTGGTTTAAAAGCATCCTACCAGGGCTAAAGCAGCTTGTTTTGTTATAGGTTAAACTAATTTAAAGGTTGAGTATTTTTCTGCTCTTAAAATTTGAGGTTAAAGATATCAAAGCATGTTGCATAACTGGTACCGTACATACTAAAATCTTGGAGGGTCAACATTAATCTGATTAAATGCAATGAGCCTACGTAATCCCCACACAAAAGCAAAGAGCAAAATGTGTTGATAACAGCAGTACCTAGAATGGTAAATGAAACGAAGGAGAGAAAGCAATGAGACCGGGTGCACCTCTGAGGAGCAAGACGCTCTCGGGTTCTTAGCGCACGGGCGCTACGTTTTCTGTTCTTTCCTGGGTAACGTGGTTATTAAGATACTTCGGTATCAGGCAACCAGCGTATTTATTACAAGACGTGACAACAGATACCAGAATTAATAGCTTATTTAATTCGACGATAATCAAAGAGGCTTGTTAGGGTACTGATAGCGTGAGGGCAGAGTGTTGGAGGGGTGAGGAGAGGGGAGGCGCAGCACCTGTAACCCAGAGGTCCGAGTAAGTGCCAAGAATTGCAATACACAAAGAAAAGCTTATTTAAAAGTAAATAAGAGAGAAAGAGAAGGAAGAGAGAAGATTCACCTCCCCAAGGTGAGGAGGGGGCCAAAGCCAGGAAGCATGGCGACAGCCATAGCTCAAAGAGCACATGGCCACACCAGAGTCCAGCAAGGCAATGGCCACTGGTTGCTTGTGGTTGAGTTCTTTTTACCATTCCCCCAGGTGGGGGAAGATCAGTAAGGTGATTGGGTGGTGGTCTGCTTCCATGTCATCACGAAGGGGCCGACAAGTGCAGGTTCTGACCTCAGGGGATGGATAGCAGGCAGATGGGTGGGTTAGTCACATGATTGCTGCCATGGTAGGCTTCATTCGCTGTCACATAGGTCACAAAGGGCTTATTAGGTTAAGGGTGGTGGTTCCTGCAAGAGACTGGTTAGACATTTGCAATTCACAAACTCAAACATTTGCAACTCACAAATTCCTTGACCAAAGGTGGTCGTATTATTACTTTTATGACTTTGGCCAGCCAAAGGGTGATCTTTGATCTTCGGCCTCGACAGGGAACCTCAAAGTTTCAGTATCATGCTAAACCATGAATGGAAAGGTTTGGCAGTCCTGGTCTTGCATCTGATGGAGATTTACTGATAGGCTGCTGCTTGTTTTGCAGCAGAATGTCTGCATGCTTGCTTTCTTTTTTCTTTTTTTTTCTTTTTTGAGTTGGAGTCTCACTCGATCGCCCAGACTGGAGTGCAGTGGCCGCTCCCGGCCTCGCCTGCTGGGCCCCGGCGATCCTTCCGCCTCAGCCTCCAAGTAGCCGGAATTACAGGCACGCGCTACCACGCCCGGCTGATTTTTTGATTTATGGTCGAGATGAGGTCTCGCTGCCCGGGCGGGTCTCGAACCCGCGGGCTCAGGCCATCCACTCACCTCAGCCTCCCAAAGACGCTGGATGACAGGCTGAGCCACCGAGCCCGGCTTGCGTGCTTGCTAATGACTATTTTGAGGCAAAAAGACTAAACCCTTTAAAGGCTGAGGATCACGGATTGTGGGAGAGGGTCCTCTTTGGGTGGACGCGAGGGACTTTCTGAGCGCACGAGTGTCGCGTCGCTGCCGTCCCAGGGCGCGGGCACCGGGGCCTCCGGGGTCTTCCGGGACGCGGGGGGGCTCCTGCCCCTGCTGCGCTGGGCTGTGGGGGGCGGGGGTGGTGTTTCCTTCCTTGATTCCCCAAATCCCTGGAAGCCAAGTCGCTGTCGCGGCTCCCAGAGGCCTGGCCGGCCCGGAGGGCTGTGCGCGGAGCTTCCAAAACCAGAGGGCCGGTCCGGGCTGTCTGGAAGCACGGGGACGCGGCTGCCACCCCGCGAGAGGCGA